TGTATTTCCACTTTTGCAGTCAAATTTGAGAAAACCCCTCTATATGTTTGTTATGTATTCCATTTCAAACAGCATTCTGAAAAATAAAAAAAAATCTTACCTTTTAAATGTTTTGTTGTATTAGGCAACATGGCTGAATCCAGGTTTTTGTTTCTGAGCACCTTCACAGCAAACTGCCCTTAAAGAAAGGCTTTGAATTGAAATTTGTGGATTGTCTTTATTTATTAACTTTATTGTGTATGTATGTGAGATAGGGACCTTAGATTGTAAGCTCCTTGAGGGTAGGGACTGATGTGAATGTGCAACTATGTAAAGTGCTGCTTAATTTGTCGGCACTATATAAATACCTGTAATAAATAATAATAATAATAAATAAAAACATACAGGCTTTTAATCCTGTAACCCCCTCACAGTCCCTCCTAACATTACAAGGAAGGAACAATGTCTACCCTTAAGAAGCCAAGAAACCCTAACTAAAGTAAAAGCAATTTAAACTGCAAGAAGCGTTTTTTTTTTTTTTCATTTGTGAATGGGAACATGTAACAAATATAAAATAGGTGTTATCCCAATTATCTGCAAAAGTGGAAATCTACTTCATGCTTGGCTCACATATATTTTATACATTTGAAGACATTTCATTGTAGTTTTCATATATTTTAAGATATGTTGCTTCTACTCCTCTTTACCTTAAATGTGTTATTGAGCCTTGCATTTGCTAGCTCAGTCTTCATCCAATTTATATGTTTTCTAATTTCCCTGATGTCTATATCTCAGGAGCAACGCAAAGCAAAAAATAAACTTAGATGTTTTCAAATATAATTAGTTGTATTCCTCAAAGAGATAATAGAACAGGTCCTCTGAGAATGTCAGTAATTTCTTCAGTTTATACTCCCAAAGGAAAGCCACAAGGAGAAAATATTATTACCGTTTGGTAACTCCTGTAAGACATGTTCATTATTTTATACATACTACTGCTGCTTTCCCAGTAATATAAATTAAATGTGTATTTTCTTTCTTTCTTTCTCTTTCTTTCTTTCTTTCTTTCTTTCTTTCTTTCTTTCTTTCTTTCTTTCTTTCTTTCTTTCTTTCTTTCTTTCTATCCTTCTCAACAGGGAAATAAAGGGAAATTCCCTCCTATACATGTGTCACAGGAACAGGTGTCCCCATTAGAAAAATTTCTCCTTACCTTTTCTGGTGTCAACTTTAAAATTCTGGATTTCCCATCACTTGCTGACGAGGGTGACAAGGGTTACCAGGAGAATAGTAGGGGAATCTCCCTAGCGGTGGCACAGATAACAATAAAAACTTAACAAGTAAGAAGTAAAATTTTGGCTATGCATGCACTTTAATATCCTGCATTCTTCCTCTTATGCAGCAGATGGAGTATTAGGCTACTCATATGGATTTCAGTCTTTTCCACACAAAAAAGCCTGTTGTATACGCACCTAAGTGAATGAGACAGAGCAGAGATTATGGCTTCTGCAATGGCTTCTCCAACAAAGATTTAATTGAAAGACATCATAGCTTGAAGTGTTCTCTCGTTAGCTAACCACTGGTGCTCTGGGAATCATTTTTTTAATAGGAGACACAAACCCTAGAACTCCCCTACATCCTGCTGACTGATAGGAAAGCTTATATTAAACAAATAAAAAATAATAAAGGAGTTCCTATTGGATCATATGAGCTACTTTTTTCACTGGTTTAAAGCTTCTCTGTTATGGCAGAATAAGAATGTGACCTCTTGCAGTATAATGATTGTAATTCTTCCAGTGGGCCTCTTTTATAGGCACCTGACAAACATTCTGTTTTTCGTTGTTAAATGCACACTGGATTCTGTTATGTTTCCAGTTAGTTGACTTTTGTTAATAAACAGAAAGCTGACATGACCAGGCCCACAGACTGGAAGGGGCGGGGATGTTGATAACAAACAAATGCCCTTAGGTTACTCTGACTTCTAAACCTGTTTGAATGATAACGTTTGAACTACACGGTCACATCATCAGCTTAAGCTGGCCATACACTACTCGAGTCAGCAGGACGTGGCTGAAATCTGAGCAGCGGTGGGCCTGTCAGAGACCCTCTGTGCTTTTCAATCAACTTTTGACGAAAGAGCTAGGACCAAACTTGTCGGCAGAAGCCAATTCTCACTAGCTTTCTTCTCAACCGCTATCCATTGCTATCTATTCATCTTCTGAAAAAACAAATGCTTGTGTACCTAGCTACACGTGAGAAGCTTAGTGTAAAATTCATACAGTTATGTACAATGCATGGGAGTGTGTTACCTCATGTTGAGCTGTGCTACAATGCAGGTGTGTTTTTAAGGTGCTTTGGGGTGCCATTTATCATGAATTCATAATAAATGCCACTGCAGCTCATCCAACGCATGTAACAAGTGTTACCATGCATTGTGATACAGCACATGCTACCATGCTGTGTTACCGCAGCACAGTGGTAATGGGCCTTAAGTTAGGAAATCCACAGTACAGTGACAGGCTAGTAGTAAGGCATGAGTCAGGAGGAAAAAAGCCAGTCCTGGCCACCACAGAAACTTGTTGGTATTTGCTTTACAAAGCACCCCGGATTTTGAGGTTGTTGGGGCACCCTACATTGAACCACATGCAGTGTGCTATTCACAGTGAGGGCCCAATCACACCTTAACGCACATTCCTGAAACACACTGTAGATGTCTGTTGCAGTAGAATGCAAAGTTATTAGCATCCCAATGAACATCTACAGCGCAATTGAATGCATCTTTATTATAATGCACTGCAGTGCACAGCAGAGCCGTAGCTGGCTCCTTTTGCGACCGAGGCAAGAACAGAAAATTGTGCCCCCCCCATCAGGTGTGAGACATCACCCGCCCTGCCTCCAGGATTTTTATTTTCCGTTCATTTCGTCTGAAACAAATTTTTAGTATTGCACATGTCTAATAATGTGTGTGTGTGTGTGTGTGTGTAGGGGGGGTGTTGCGCCTGTAGCTTCTCATCGGATCCCCGCTGCTCTCCCCTTCACCTGCATGGGCAGAGGCAGCGGGGATCCGAGGAAAAATAAGGAGCTGAACTGGGGTTAGTGTCTCTGTTGCCACATGATGCCATTGTCTTTAGGGATTTTCCCAAATTTCCCACAGTGGGATCGCCTGCACCCGGAACCCAGGCACATGAGTGCCTGCGTTCCAGTCCAGTGCGATCAGCAAAAATGCTGCAAGCACTATTTTTGCAGATCGCACTGGACCGGAATGCAGGCACTCATGTGCCTGCGTTCTGGGTGCGGGTGATCGCACTGTGGGCGGGAGGCATGGCTGCGGTGCCATTGACCTCTATACAACCCCACACCCCCTCCCGCCGCTGAACGCAGGGAGCCGGCTTACATTCCAGTGCGTCCTAGAGGCCCCACCGTCCTGTCCTCCCGTGGTGCTCGTGTGGCCAATGTTGCACATGGGGAGAGGTGTCCTACCCCTTTCCATCTGCAGCGTCTGAAACATTCAGCTGCACGAGCACCGCGGGAGCATAGCCATAGCCAGCTCCTTTTGCGTCCGAGGCAATAAAAAAGCAATGCCCCCAACAGGCGTGTGATGTCACCCAGCACCCCGCCTCCAGGATTTAACCCTGATATCTCCCTTTTAAATTAGAAAAAGAAATTGAGGACACAAGTCTTTTTCTGCAGCCTCTGTTCTAAATGAATGGAAAGCACAGAGGCTTCCCATTCATTCAGAAAATATTTTACTATCATCCAGTTTCTGAATGGGGAGGAGCCTCTGTACAGAGTGCTTCTCCCCATTGAGAAACTCATGAATGAACAGGAAGTGATGCAAATCACATCGTGTTCATTCATAACTAGGGACACATAGTACATTGTGTCCCCAGTTATTTACAAACACTGGAATTTATCAGCTGATCGCTCCAGTGTTTGCCCTGCACAGAGGATTGGTACATATCACTGATATGTACCGATCCTCTGCCGCTCGGCCACGCAGACGGGGGCTCAGCTTCTCCTCTGGATCCCCCCTGCTCTCCCAGGCAGAGGCAGCGGATCCAAGGAGAAGTGAAAGAAGCACTTCAGCCGCGGGGGGGGGAGGGGGGGGGGCAGAGGACGGAGCCGCTCTCACAGAACTAAGACCAAGTGGTGAGGGGGGAGAGAGAGGCGCCGGCTGTCAGAACCTGGCCGAGCGTCTCTTCCTATGTCTCCTCACCGCTCGGCCTTAGTTCTGTGACAGCGGCTCTATCCTCCGCCCCCCGCCGCCTCCGGCTGCAGCGGTTCCTTCACTTCTT